CTGAGGGCTCGGCAGGGACTATAACAAATTGGAGGGCAAATGTTTTCTGTAAAGTGGAATACAGGATAATGTTACTCAAGTCCCACCAACTGGTGCCTTGCTGTGGTGGGGGTCCCATTTTCCTATTTTCCAAATGAAGTCCTTTTTCTGTATTTTCTATAATGTTCCACATGTCTGGTTTCTCAACATCTTTATCTCCCTTGTTTATTAACAGAGCTAATCTTTCCCCACAAATATTCTTGCCTCTACTTATTCTCTGCCCCTTCAACTGATGGTTCTTCTCCAAATCCTAGATCAGACTGTTTAAATATTTCTAGGCATACCTGAAGATAATTTTGCCAAATCTGCAGGTGTTAGAAACATGAATGAGAAAAAATTTGCCTGAAGATATTAAAACCTTCAATAACAAAGTAAGCTTAAAATTAACTATTTTGTAAGGTACAGTATTAGTCTTCTAAAAAATTGGTCTAGCCGAAACCGGTTTGGCTCAGCGGTAGAGCGTCGGTCTGCGGACTGAAAGGTCCCGGGTTCGATTCCGGTCAAGGGCATGTACCTTGGATGCGGGCACATCCCTGGTAGGGGGTGTGCAAGAGGCAGCTGGTCGATGTTTCTCTCTCATCGACGTTTCTAGTTCTCTATCCCTCTCCCTTCCTCTCTGTAAGAAAAATTAATAAAATATATTTTAAAAAATTGGTCTAGATATAATTAATGGATGAAATCTATATACTTATAAAGATAATAAGCTATCTGTGGAAGTAAAGTATAAGAACCAAAATGAATACTGTATCTTAAGTCCTATAGGAGTTCAGGGGGGAAATTATTTCAGATGTTGGAATATAACATAGTAGACTAATAGATAATAATTATGTTCCCATTTTATATTCATGGGTACACAAGCAGATTTAAAGTTTACATTTAGTTTTTTTTGTGGATACTTTTTGCTATATTGTTAGTACCTTGTCAGAATTTCATATGCAAGATGGTATTTGTTTATTTATGAGTGTTGTATAAAATAGATCCTATAAATTCTAATTGAGGAAAATTCCTGCTCCTAAACTTGAAAAGAATTTTCACTCCCTGAAAACATTTTTATTGATATGTTTTCCTCTTTTCTTCTTTGAGAGAAATTGACAAAAGTGGCAATCTTTTTCTCAGTTAAAAAAAAAAAAGGATCAGTCCTAAGTAGCTGTAGTTTACAGGTTATACTTTGGGCAAAAGAACTCAATTAGCCTTTTTTTTTTTTTCTTTAACTGGGAAGCTCTTTATTTGACTGTCTATTTTGAATGATAGCCTTTCTGGTTATAGTAATCTTGGTCTCAGATCCTTGCTTTCCATTACCTTGAATACATCATGCCATTCCCTTCTGGCCTGTAGATTTTCTGATGAGAAATCAGGTGTCAGCCTTATGGGAATTCCTTTGTAGGTAACAGTTTTCTTCGCTCTTGCTTAATATTCTCTTTTTGTCTTTAATTTTTGTCATTTTAATTATGATATGTCTGGTCATGGGTCTGTTTGGGTTCTTCTTGTTTGGGGTTCTCTGTGCCTCTGAACTTAGGTGACTATTTCCTTTACCAGGTCAGGGAAGTTTTCTGCCATTATTTTTTCACCTTCTCTATTCCTTTCTCCATTTCTGCCTCTTCTGGTATACCTACTATTCTAATATTGTTATATTTCACATTGTCCCACAGATCCCTTAAGCTGTCCTCCTGTTTTCTAATTGTTTTTTTCTTTTTGGTTCTCTAATTGAGTGATATTTTCAACTCTGTCTTCTAATTCACTGATTCAATCCTCAGCTTCCCCTCATCTGCTGTGTATTCCTTACAATGTGTTCTTTGTGTTATGTCATTCTTTATCTCAGAGTGTTCTTTTTTCATAGTTACTATATCTTTTTTCATACTGTTGAGCATTTTTAACATCATTACTCCGAACTCTATTTCAGATAAATTTCTTATCTCTGCTTCATTTATATCTTCTTCTGGATTATTCTCTAGTTATTTCATTTGGGGGTTGTTTCTTTGTTTCCTCATTTTGGCTGTCTCCTTTGGGTTTGTGACTATGTTTTAGCTAGATCCTCTACACCTCTCAATCTCTAGTGCAGAACAGTGTTAAAGGCCGTTTCTGACTAATTGGATCAAGCTAAAACTCAAAGCCTCCAGAGACCACCTCTGCCTACAGACTAATAGGATTCCAACTTGAATTGCCCCCAGGCAATCGTCCTCAGGTGTGATGAGAGTTTTTTTCAACAAGGTGGGGCAGTTGCTTCTGCCTGGAGGCTAATTGTTACTTTTAATCTCTTAAGTGGTCTCTGGGCAAGGGTTTTCCAATAGGGTGTGTTGACTGCCTTCCCCCCAGACAAGGCAAATGTCTGTGTGGGAAAGATGTCCTGTGCTGTGTGAGGGAATGACTCAGCCCAAGAAACTTAGGGTGTCTGTCTTCTGAGTTTATCCCCCAAGTCCCAGTCTTGGGGTCTGCTCTCACAGCTATCGGTCCACTTCACCCTCCCTCTGAAAGAGCACAAGGTGGGTGGCTACACTGGGAATTTTTTGTGTGTTGGTACCGTAAGAGGGTGCCTGAACTTTTAGCTGCCACTCCCTGGCAGACAGCACCCTACTGCTTTTCACAGCTAGATGTTATGTGGGTACCCTCCTCAGTTTGGTGTTCTCTAGTGAGGAACCCAGCTTTGGGATTAGATCCCAGAGTTCTCAGTACAATCCCCACATCTGAGATATCTCTCTGGGACTTCAGTTGCCATTTGTGGGTGCCGGGCCAGCCCTTTTGTGTCTCCACCTTCAGTCCTTGGGTATCAGGGCTCTCCTGTGAGTTTTCCATTATTCAAAAAGCCTTTCCGTATTTCGCTTGCAATTTCAGCTTGTTCCTGGGAGCATGTCTGTGCAGCATCCTTCGACTCTGTCGCCATTTTTAATCCAGATCCCAGTATAATATTTGCTATAAAAGTGTAATATGCTAATTAGAACTGATGTCCTTCTGGATGACCTTCTGGACAAAGCTGCAGCAGCGGGGGGGGGGGGGGGGGGGGGGGGGCGCGGGGCCTGAGGCCGAGGCAGCTGCCACAAGGGGGCCAAGCCCCGTGCACTATTTTTGTGCATGGGGCCTCTAGTTTTTAATATCTCTCCTTTCATTTTTACCTGCTAATTGAATTTAATAATTTTTTTCAAAATGTACTTATGCAAACCCATTTTAGATATAATTTTAAGATGAATTATTTGCAGTAGAGTTTTGAATGAAAATGGGGTAATGTTCGATTTATTAAGTTAAAAAAAAGAAGAAAAAAAAACAGGTCGCAAAATGGTAAATACAAAATTACATGGAAAATACTTTCACATAAGCATTCAATACTTAAATAGCATCTCTGATTGGTGAGTATGAGTGATTTTTAATTTTTTGTGTGTTTTCCAAAATTTCTATAATAAGTCTGTGTGTTTTGATTAGCAATGTAATTTACTTGCCCCACTAGCATGCCTTGATGTTTGAGCACTGATCTATAAATCAGGAGGTCACAGTTTGATTCCTGGTCAGGGAACATGCCTGGGTTGCAGGCTCGATCCCCAGTAGGGGGCATGCAGGAGGCAGCCCATCAATGATTCTCTCTCATCATTGATGTTCCTATCTATCTCTCCCTCTCTTTTCCTCTCTGAGATCAATAAAAATATATTTTAAAAAAGGAAATGTAACTTACTAAAATAATAGAACCTTATAATTAAGCTTCAGTACAAATATTCTACCTTCTCAAGAATTTATAAGCCATCTAAAAGTATTTAACAACATTTCCTGTTTGGTAATTTGGCATAGTATTTCTTTTTACATTAATACTTTGACGTTTCTATATTTATTTAAGGAAGTGGAGTATTTCACTAGTATTAATAATTGACACTGGCCTTCATGTTTTCTTGGAAGTACCTGTATTGAGAATGTTTCTGAGTGTTTTTTGAATGAAAGCTTGAAAAAGAATTTGAGTGTTTGACTTGCTTAGAGCAATATAAGAAAATTTATTGGAATCTATATTAGCCTCTTGGTAAGTAAAATTGCTTTAGGGCCAAGTAATCTAAAATTAGGATGGTAAATGTTCTTTATGTTAAAATGAATAAAGAGGAATAAGAACAGTTTTGAATGAGGTCTCTAGCCATTTAAAAACAAATGAGCAGTTTTTAAGATTTATCTTATTATGAGTTTATTTTAGCATGGCATTTATGGCTTAGAAGATAGCCTCATTAAAAGACCTTTCTGCACAATACATTGCGATATGTTAAACCACTAACAATCATTGTTATGTAGCTGTTAATGCTACTTTTAAAAATAATTTTCCTAATTTTACATCATGAGCTAGTTAAACAATATGAATTATTCAATAAAATCATAAGGTAAGTTATAGTAAAATATGTTGATAGAGTCTGTTCTTTTATCTATTTGTCTGAATTCATAATGCAAGAGATAAGTAACAGGTTACATCACAAAATGTTTTTAGAACTTAAGGTATTTAGAATCTATCTAGTTCTTTTTATCTTCCTTCCTTCCCTCACTTAAAATTTATTCTACCAGATTCTCAAATAGTATGTGATGGTTGTTTTTTCCTGAAGATTCTCATTGATTATGTGGAAATATAAAGGAAAAATTTTTCTGGTATGAGGCATTTTCACCAGTTATACATTTCTAGGAAGATCTGGATTGTGAAAAGTTCTTAATTCTATACAGTTTACATACCTTATTTGTAACATTTCAAAATTTCTCTTTACCACAGTAAAACAATAGACATTAATAATATTCCATTAATTTTGTTATTGTTTAACATGGGGGGGAAAAAGCATCCCCGGTAGAATTGTATTCGAATTACTTCTTGGCACGAACCCAAAAAAAATAGCATTAAGTTACACAACTTTTCATTAACCAATTTGTTTTCCTTGACAGAGATTAATATGCCTCTAACCTGATATCATTGCCTTAGCAAAGTCACACACTAATAATATTTTATTGTTTTCCTGTAGATGTGTTCTTTGTGCCATTGTCCTGGAGCAACAATTGGTTGTGATGTGAAAACTTGCCACAGGACATACCACTACCACTGTGCATTGCATGATAAAGCTCAAATACGAGAAAAACCTTCACAAGGAATTTACATGTAATTATTCAACTTCTCTTTACATTTTTTTAACAGTCATACTTTCTTTATGCTTTTGTAAAAATAATTTCCCATTTCAAATAATTTAATTGTAAAGAGTGTTTTCGGTAAATAATTTAATGCTTAGTGAAATGGCATAGAAAGTTTAATAATAAGATTTTTGGAATCTAGCTTATAATTGGGGTAAAGTGTATCCCTCACTTTTTAGATTTGAAAAATGGGTTTAGTTTGTTTACGTGACAATTTTTAATATCTTCATTTTTATAGGGTTTATTGCAGGAAACACAAGAAAACTGCACATAACTCTGAAGGTACGTCATTCAATCAATTATCAATTTCAAGAAGAAATTTGAGTAAAATATGAGTAAATTATCCTATCTTAACTTTTACCGTTGGATGTACCTCAATATTGAATACATTTTGCAGAATTACGAAAATTAATGTACAATAGTGAAAAAGATCTGAATTAAAAAAAAACTATCTCTAAGGTTTTTAAAGAGTTAATCAAATGATGCTAATGGTTCAGGATTTCTGTGTTTATATAAATGTTTTAGTGGATTATAGAGTTAATAATTGGCCTGCTGTCTAATACAGAAATGTGAACTTGGGAGACTAGTACATTTGTCATCACCAGGCTGTCTGTTAATTTTTTATTTACATTGTAGTACTTATTTATTTTAATGCAGACATGTTCATAAGAAATAATCAAGTTTTAAATGTAAACCTAAAATTATTTTATAGTTTCTTTTCATTTAAATTTATACAAAGCCAGGTTAATCATTTTTATGTAAAGTTAGCCAAGTTGTACTTTCATTTAAATTTATACAAAACTAGGTTAATCATTTTTATGTAAAGTTTTTAAAAGGTATGGGAAAGTTCTCAAATCGAATCCTCACTTGTTTTAAACTTTTTCAAACAGGTGGTTTTGACACTTTTATGTGTAATATAAAAAGGCTTAGATTTCATCTGATATTGTTCTATCCTTCAATTTAGATTAATGATCTTTAAAGTTTTTTTTAAGCTTCCTAGACTGTGTTGCTTAGAATTAGAATGGTTTGAGCCTGTTGTTTTAGGAAGTTGTTTCTTTTATAAAGAATTACCTAGCCCAGCTGGCGTGGCTCAGTGGTTGAGCATACGCACCAAGAGGTCACGGGTTGGGTTCCTGGTCAGGGAATATGCCTGGGTTGCAGGCTTGATCCCCTGTGTGAGGTGACCAGGAGACAGCCGACAAATGATTCTCTCTTATCATTGATGTTTCTATCTCTCTCTCCCTCCCTCTCCCTTCCTCTCTGAAGTCAATAAAAATATATTTTTTAAAGAAAATAATTATCTAATTATCAGTATTAGGATATTAAAATTTGTGGTCTTTTTTGATCTCTTAGAACTTGATTTCATAATACAAACTAGTATTGCTTCTACTCTGGATTCCAGATTAGTCAAATACTTTAAAAGTACTGGCTAGCCCTCGCTGATTTGGCTCTGTGGATAGAGCATTGGCCTGTGGACTTAAGGGTCCCAGGTTCAATTCTGGTCAAGGGCACATGCTTGGGTTGCAGGCTAGATCCCCAATAGGGGGCGTGCAGGAGGCAGCTGGTCAATGATTGTCTCATCATTGATGTTTCTCTTTCTCTCCCTTCTCCGAAATCAATAAAATATTTTTTTAAAAAGAAAAGTGCTGGTTAAAAATACAATCATTAGCAAAAACTTGTTTTTTAAGATAAACAGATTAGAAAAGTAATAATAAACTATTTTTGAAGTGCTAAAGTGCAACTGATAAATCTTTATAGTGTTTTGTTTTAAATATATTTTTATTGATTTCAGAGAGAAGGGAGAGGAAGAGAGAGATAGAAACATCAATGATGAGAGAGAATCATTGATTGGCTGCCTCCTACACTTGGCCTACTGGGGATGGAGCCTGCAACCGGGGCACATGCCCTTGATCGGAATCAAATCCAGGACCCTTCAGTCCACAGGCTGATGTCCTTCCTATCCACTGAGCCAAACTGGCAAGAGCAGTGTTTTTCTTCAGTTTTATAGTGTTTTTCTTCAGTTTTCTCTCTTTCTTAGTTCTATAATTGAATTTAAAACCTTTTGTGAAAAGAGTAAGCTTTCCCACCTTCTACTTCAGATTTTAACAGTGTATTTATTTTATTCTATTTAAGATTGTAGTGACCATATATGGCAAGCCAAGGATTGAGACCTATGACCTGATGGATACAAGTATATGAGCATACTAAGGCAGGAAATTTGAGGATGGCAGCAATGATTTAGACATCTCCCCTTTTATTCTTTAGATTTCTGAAGCTGATAATACCATCTAGTGGTGGAGAAAGGTCACTGCAGACTATGTAAAGTTGAATAAGTTTGACCACTTTTTGCTTTGAGAAACATATTAAAGAGAACTATCTAAATTCATACTTTTCAAAATGAATTTTCTTTTAATGTAACTGGCAGGATTACTATAATTCGAATTTGTGATACAATTGATTCGAATTTTGAGTTTTGTGTACTTTTATACACATTGTGTTTATACTTAAATTGTAGAACTTGAAGCATAATTTTACAATTTAGAAATATTACAGCCCTAGCCAGCTTCTCTGTGGATAGAGCATTGGCCTGCAGACTTAAGGGTCTCGGGTTTCCTTCTGGTCAAGGGCACGTACTTCAGTTGCAGGCTCAATCCCTGGTCCCAGTCAGGGCTCCTGTAGGAGCCAACCAATCAATGTATCTCTCTCACATGGATGTTTCTCTCTCTGTGTCTCTCCCCCTCCCTTCCACTACCTCTAAAAATCAATGGAAAAATATCCTCAGGTGATTATTTGTTGTGGCAGAATGCATGGGAGAACGATTAGCCAGCACTCTGAGGGAAGAAAGTGAAACCTTTATTTCACAGATCTGCTAGTCCAGGGGAATTCCAGATCCAAAGCCTGAATTGAACTTCTGGGAGGCTCTGACCTATGTATTTTCTCCTGTAGCAGGCCTCTTAGGGTCCCCGCAGTTCTTCCCAAGTCAGCTGTGGCGGGGCCCTGGGGTTAGGCTCTGCAGCTCCGCCCAAGTCAGAGTGGGGAAGTAAGACTACAGTTTTAATGAGATACTGAACTAATTGCAAGGCCCCCCCCCCCATTTTCCTTTTCATTCCCCCTTCTTGTTACACAAGCTATTCTTAGTGTTGGGGATTACAAAAAAAAAAAAACTTAGAAATTGGGGATAAGGTTGATGACCACTCTAGCTATGTACTACTGAAGGAGGGGGGGGGCAACAAAAAAGGGGGTTCAGTATCCCGAGTCTTCCCCATCATCCCCAAGGGGGTCATCAGAGTAACAAGGGCAGAGAGGTTCTCCCAATACCAGTCTGGGGTTCCGGCGACATTTGTATGAAGAAAGAATAAAACTGTTTGGAAAAAAACAAAACCACAAAAACAGTAATTATTCAGATAGAAGGGCATAAGGAGATTCAGGTTGGTCAGCTGGATCCACTGTCTTCTTGAAGATGATATGCAGGGGTTAGTTCAGGTCAGAGGATACCTTCCACTCTGGGTGCTGATTGTCCAGCTGGTGGACTGCTTTAACCCAGTAGTGGTGGATTCAGGTGTTCAGTCCTGTGACTTTGAGAGCTGAGGGGGTGGTTAGTATGACTGGATAGGGTCCCTTCCAAGTTGGCTTTAGGGGGTTCCTTTTTCCAATCTGTTACCCAAACCTGGTTCCCAGGCTTGTGAGGGTGCACAGCTGTGCCTAGAAAGATGGGCAATCGATCAGTAACCCATCTGTGGACTTCAAGGATAGTTTTCGCAAGTCCTTGTAGCTCTTTCTGAATTTCTAAGTCCCCTATTTTCCCCAAATCTCCCTTTGGCTGAATTAAGGAAGGGAGTCTGCCATATAGAATTTCAAATGGATAAAACCCTACCCTGGTTCTCGGGGGCCAGCACACTCACAGGAGCACATGTGGTAAGATATCTGTCTAGGGTAAATTCATCTCCGGGCTTAGCTTACCCATAGCCTGCTTCAGAGTCCGGTTCATGCGCTCTATTTTCACTGAACTCTGGGGCCTATAGGCTGTATGTAACTTCCACTTAATTCCTAAAGCCTTAGCTACCTGCTATACTACCTCAGCTATAAAAGCTGAGCCATTAGCTGACCCTATGGTTAATGGCGTTCCATACCATGGAATTATGTCCTTCAGTAATTCCTCATTGACATCTCTCGCCTTCTCCGTGCGGGTAATGCCTCAACCCAGCCTGAAAAGGTGCAGGCAAAAACTAAAATATATTTATTTCCTCTACTAGGTCCTATTTCTGTAAAGTCTACCTCTAGATCTTCAAAGGGAGCGTGCCCACAGCGCTGAATTCCTATCGGTCCTACAGGACCCTGACTTGCATTGTTCTGTGCACAGAGGAGGCAGTGCTGAGAGACTGAGGTGCATAAGGAGGGGAGATGGCAGTTAGATAGTATCTGCTTAACAAGGCTTCTAGAGCCCTCTTCCCTAAATAGGTAAGTTCATGCTGTTGGAGGACTAATCTATGAGCTAACTGTTCTGGAACATAGGCCCTATGATCTGGGAATATCCACCAACCTTCCTTCATCCTTTTACCCCCTTCTCATTGAGCCTATTCTTCTTCTTCTTTTTTTTTTTTTTAAAAAAAATATATATATTTTATTGATTTTTTACAGAGAGGAAGGGAGAGGAGATAGAGCTAGAAATGTCAATGAGAGAGAAACATCGACCAGCTGCCTCTTGCACACCCCCTACTGGGGATGTGCCCACAACCAATGTACATGCCCTTGACCAGAATCGAACCTGGGACCTTTCAGTCTGCAGACCGACACTCTACCGCTGAGCCAAACTGGTTTCGGCCCATTCTTCTTCTTGAGAGGTATATTTTGGAGATTCAGATAATTCAGGAACCAGCATGATCCAAGATGGCGCCTTAGCAGCTAGCTCTGCCGCTGTGTCTGCGGGATGGTTCCCTTCTGACATGGAGTCTTTTCCTTTTGGGTGTTCTCTACAATGGATGACTACTACTTCCTTGGGCTCCCAGACTGCGTCTAGTAACGTCAAGATCTCATTCTGATTTTTTATTCCTTTTCCTCCAGCCACCAGGAGGCCCCTTTCCTTGTATATGGCCCCTTGGATATGCAGGGTAGCGAAGGTATAGTGCAAGTCAGTGTAGATGTTGGTGCCCTTATCCTTACTGAGATTTAAGACTCTGACTAGGGCCCAAAGTCCTGCCCTCTGTGCTGACCATCTTTCAGGCAGGGACTGTGCCTCTATTATCTCAAAGTTTGATACCACTGCATACCCGGCTCGTCTTTTT